TATTCTGGTGGTCTGGGTGTGCACAGGTTTTGGGGAAGCTCCAGCAGTGGAAATCAAGACTTTCTTTCTAAGGGCCATGCTTCAGGTTTTAAGTCAGCCTGCAGCTAGCTGTTAGGATGACAGCAGTGGCTATGCACTTCTGCACATTTTGCCAAATCTGTCTTACAGCAGTCTGTAAGTCCTGGGTCCTGCTGTCTCACACACTTGGTGTTGCACAAGGTAATACCATGCTGCCGAAATGGGAATGCCAGATCTGATGATCTGATGAAAGCTGGGTCTGTGGTGGCTCTGTGTTGCACCCTATGCATTGCTGCTGTTGGGATAGGCCACCGTGGCCTGGTCCCTTCCTAGGATGGGCATCACACGTGCTCAGAAAGGGTTCAGTCCCCCTGTAGCCACAGCTGATCTTGCAAAATGTGTTTTTATCTCAATACACGGATTTATTTCAGTTCTTGGTTGCAGCCCAGGGTATGTGGTGCAGGACTGTGTGTGCCAAACCTGCGGCTGGCGCTGTGTGACCTGATGTGCTGTCTAGCAGCACATGGGCCGGCTGAGCACGCAGGAGGACATGGGCACCGAGGCTAGCATGGCTGGGCTCACTTCTCTAGCTCTTGCAGAAAGGTTTGAGGGGAGAGCTTTTTACTTTTTTCTCCTTTGCTTTGAACTACTCATTTGAAAATGCCTGAAACTTAATGAAGCACGTGGGAGCTTTCCCACTGCCTCCAGTGGGATTTGGATCTCGCCCCCGCTGTCAGAGCATGGCAGCCAACTCTGAGATCAGGAGGAGGAGACAGGAGTGACATTCAAATCAGATCTTTAAAACACGCAGAGTTCCTGCTAACATCAGCATTTCCTTCCTGTGTAATGTACAGCAGTGAACATCGCTGTAACTAGTCTCTGCTCTGTGTGGAGCAGAAAACGAGGGACATGACAGGTTTCATGCAAGTATGGCCTTTATAAATAAAAAAAATGTTCATATGCCAAATAAACAGCCTTGGAAAATTAACTGCTCCCTGTGGTGTGCATAGGCATCAGTAGTCCATGCTTAGTGATGCTCATCCACCACATGTTATTCTGGAGTAAAGGGACCCAGCGGCATGGCTAGAGGCTGCAGTGCCTCTTGAGATTAATGAGGTGAAGGCCAGTCATTGCCCCTTGTGATGGCAGATGTGTGATTTAGGGATGTCCAGCTGTTAGTAACTGGAATGAGGTCCTTCAGACCTGTGTGATATGGATCACTGTTGGCAAAGATACAGTAATGGTTTTCATTGCAGCCATGGGCTAAATCTTGGAGAAGAAGGGCTCTGTGTGCCATTCATTTTATTGCCTCCTGAGCGCTGGAAAGGGTGTGCAGGGCTTGTATGTACAAAAGATTGCAGAAAATAGCTATTCCATCTATGCTTCTCTTCAGTCCCCGTCAAATTATTCCCCTGTACTCACGGGAATCCTTAAAGCCTCTAGTGGGAAAGACTGAACGTTACACTTTGTACTGTGCTACAAGCATGGGATTTGCAGGTGTCACCAGTATCACCTGCCTTTCTGCAACTATGTCCATCCTTACCAAGGAAGGGCAGACACCTTAATTTGGTTTAATCCTTCATACATGAAGAAGTTGTATCCAACTGGGCTATTCCAGGCTGCTGGAACCGGTGCGTGACATCCCATCCGAAGCTGTAAGCAAGTCTCTTGTGTCTCAGAGGAAAACAAAAATAGTGTTTTCTTCTGCCAAATAGTGTCACAGGAGAAAAATCCTCTCCTGGCCCCTGCAGGGAAACCGCTGATGGCCTAGTTGGGAAAAGGGTCTGACAACAGCCTCCCAAACTTGCTCACTTCTGTAAGATGGGGCACAGCATTCAGTTTTGCCATGTCAGAATTGGCTGCCTCAAGTCCCTGTACCACTTCTTAGTGACCGCTTCCTTTCTGCTCTTCTGGGTGTGTTAGAGAAGCCTATGCAAGTACTCAAAAAGGGCCAACAAGGTAATATTCCTCATGCTGACTTTTTTGTTTTTAACCAGTGGATGCCAGATGGCCACGTGACACCAGAGTGCGCGTACAGTGCCCGGACATCTGGTAGAGCTCTGCCAAGAGAATCATCGGGTGCTCCCCAGGGGGAGTTCAGACAAGTTGCACATGCAGCTTTCTACTGCACAAACAAGCCAGTTTAACTATAACACATCATTTCTAGCTGTCCATCTGCAGCTCAAAACCGATCTCTGTTGCTGAAACCCTGCTCACGTCTCCATGTGCAAATGGAGGGCAGGTGAATGTCATGGTTAAAATTACAAACGAGCCCATTTGTTCAAAGTCTGGAAAGACATTGCGGCTTTTTCTGAGCTCAGACATGTTGGGACTGTGCTTTCACTGGATTCCAGACCTGAAATCCGTAGCCAGACTATAACTGTTCCGAAGTTTTGGGTTTGGTTTTTTTTTTCCAGATTTTTCCTGATCAAGAGGGATGTTTAATGTATTCTGATGAGTGCTTTAATAAAACATGTGCTGTACTCTGTGAAAATGGAGCTTCTGGCTTGAATACAGATAGCATGTGAGTAATATGTAACACCATCACCAGGAACAAGACCATTTTAAATTAAACTCTGCCTTTTGCAAGACCAAGGCAGCCTTGTTGTGTCCAGCTGGAAGCTGATAGATCCATCTCTTGAAGAATAATCCTCAGGACCCTTGCTCTCAATCATCAATGTTGTTCAGTTTTTTTCAGTTGAAGCAAGCAACAGACAGTTTTTTTTCTGGTTATTATTTTTCTTGACAGTGGGGATTTTTGTGGGTTTTGTTGGTGTTGATTTTTTGTTTTGTTTTGTTTTTTTAAATACATCTTATGCAACAGCCTTCTCAGAAGGAAAAACCCAACTGTGTCTTGTTAAAAAGGAGAGTGAAGAATAGAAGTGGGTGGACAGTCTCTTCCCACACATCAGAGCCAGCTTCCCAAAGCTCCTGATATGAACTTGAGTATGTGGGTCCCGTTGTGTGCCTTCTCCTCCAGAAAGGATGTGCTCGTGGAATGAAGGAGCCAGGATAATACTTCTTCTTCAAAGTCCACAGCAAGTGCAAGTGTGGCTTTAACTTTGGAAGTGTCTTTCTGAATTTGAATACCTATATATGTAGGTGGGTGTCTTTTTCAGTCCAGAAGTGAATTTCTGAAGATGACTGTAAGACCGTTAAAGCAAAACAAACTTTGTGGCCTCCAAAGGTTTCTTGAAGAACATTTTCAGCTCATCCATATATCACAGAAGATAGATTATTTGAGCTGTGGTACCCACAGTGGCTGGTGCAATGTAGAGCGTTGCTGCTGTGAACAGCAGATCTGTTGTCTTACAGACCAGCCTCAGATTTTGACACTTCTTCAGCAAGTTGATTCTTCCAGGGAGTGGCTGGCAGTATAGAGAGTTAATATGAGGGGATATTAGATTTCAGAGAGAAATCTTCCTGGCTGGGTAAACATAGCTTGTAATCTTACAGAGATATGTTGGCCTATTTGGACAACAGGGTGATTCCCAAGTGGAGGAAGCGGTTTGGCTGGCCAGAAACCATCTCATATTTCTTATTAATGGAAAAATCTTGTCTTCAAACCAAAGTTTCTTGTTTGATTGCCTTAGAGTGGGTGTACGGGCATTCACTTGGCTCAGCTTAGATTGAGTTTAGCTAACGAAAGGTCCTATGGTAATGTGTGGCACATAGGCATTTACCACTAAATACCCATTTGAGATCCTTCCTCAAGTTGCAATATGAAAGGAGCCTTGTGATACCGTTTCAGTCTGTCATCATAAACTGCCTCACGGACTTTTTGTCCATGAGAAATGTGTCTTTCAAAGTTCTTGAAACACAAGACCCTGCTTCTTGCTAAAGGTGATCATCCAGACTGGCGTGTTTTTAACACTGGAAGATAATATGGGCTCGTTTATAGCACATCTTAGCATGGCATCTTCATGCATCATGAATGAGTTCATTGGCAGTAAGAACAACCCGTGCCATCCTGCACTGGAGCATAGGGCAGCCCTGGTGCCCTAAAGCCATTGAAATTCACCATTCCCAATCCAAAATGCATCAGCCTGGCTTAAAAAACACAGCTTCTGCTCTGCCTTTTTGTTCTGATTTATTCAGTATTCTTTTTTTTTTTTTTTTCATATCAACTGTAGTTCTAAATATTTCTTTCTAATAATAAAAGCTGTGGGTTTTGAGATGATCACAGGACTCCCAGAGCTCTAGACTCTGTGGTCAGAAATACTAAGGATTTATTATGTTGCTGCTGTTACTGGGTAAATTGGAAGTTAAAAGTGAGGATAGAGATTGGTGGTTACTGTTGGATTTTATGTCATTTGTATGTATGACATAAAATCGAGACAAGCCACTCATGAGACCTGGGACAGTTGAGTCAACTTTTCCTTCCTCTTTTTCTTGGCACATATGTGGGAATTACATATGTTCTTTAGGCTTTTACAATGAAAAGCCCATCAAGAGAAGAAAATTCCCTCCTTGTTTACTGTGTAGTCAGGCAAAGGGATTGGACTCACTCTTTTTTCATGTGTGTTTGGGTTGGATGATTTCCACAGGACCAGGAGGGTGCAGAGGAGGGGGTTGTGCTGTTCAGCGAGGAGTAAGGGTGGACATAGCCATCTGCCACCTGCATGGGGCTGCCCTTGCTCCCAGTCAGGTTTACACAGCTCTGTGCTCCCCTGCCTGCATCTTCCTCTGCCTTGCTGCCTAGCTTTTGTGTGTTGGGATCCCGGCAGCAGGCTCAGGTTGGAAGAAGGGTTGATCTTCCTGGGCTTTGATGTGTTAATTCCCCAGAGGAGCTGCTTGCTCCTCCTTCACTGCTCTGCTTCCCACATCTCCCACTCTGCTGCACTGTTCGCCTCCATCCTTGGTTAGGCGAGGAAACCTGCCTCACTTAACCTCTCTGTCTTGGTTCAGAGGAGCCCTGACAGTGCCACTCATCTCAGCAGACGCCTGCAGTGCTGGGGCTGCAGCTTTCAGCCTCGGCTGCCTGCCACAGTCACTAGCGTCCTTGAATGCATGAAGATAGTCATGACCAGCATGGAGTATAGCTGGGACATTCACGGGCACTGTGTCTGGCTAAATAAGGTAAGGCTATCTGTGTTTGTTCTGGCTCTTGCATTTCTCCGAGTGACAAGCCACATCTGGGCACCACTGGTAGGGAATAAGCATTTCATCTTTCTCTTGCATCGGATACCAGCTAAGCTGCTGCTGAAGAAACTGAATGTTTTAAAACGGTTGCATCTTCCCTTTTCAACAGCTGTGTTAGTTATAATTAGAAAATGTTTCAGGTAAATTGCTCAGAGTGAAGGTCTGTATTAAGCTGGTTTTCTTTCAGAATTCACTTTTATTGTAGTGAAGTGTTTAAAATATACTGTGTGGGTTTGTGTTGGTTCTTTGTTGTGCTGGTTTTTTTTCGTTGCTCATTCTCTAAGGAGGAACTAATCTGTAAACTTCAGGAAAAGCTTAGCAGCATGTTTGCCTGCCTGCTGCTGGAGCATGTGAACCAGGCTGCAGATACTCAGTGTGATGAGCAGGGAGGCATGAAATTCAGGAGATGCTGGTTTGGGAGGGCAGCGGTACACTCCCACACAAACTGGTTAAACACTGGTATGGATTGTCTTCAGACAGATTTGATCAATATGAATTTGGGATGGAATCCATACTTGCAGAGGGTAAAGCTGTCAGGGTCCTGTATCACAGGGTAAACAGTGGTGAATACTTTTGTTAGGAAAACCTGGAGAGTCTGATCTGCTTAATGCACACCAAGTGGTGTTGAGGTAGCTGAGAGTGGAGGGAGTTCCCTTATAAGGGAGACTAAAACTGAATGAACAAGTAGAACAGTGGTAGCTGTGCTTAACTAAGCGTAGGTAATGTGCATTGTAATGATCTGAACAACGTAAGCATGTTGATGAGCTCTAAATTAACTCCAGATGGTCAGGAAAGATGTCAGGGACAGCTCACTTGCCCAACTGTTGACTGGACTGTGGTGGTCAAAACAGTAAGCGCAATCTGCCATACAAGAAAATCATGCTGTGGAGTGGCAGCTCCTTCTATGCAAATCAGATCGCTTCTACAGCAAAAACTGTGATTTGTGCAGCTTATTTTGTCTGGAAAGCAGAAGAGAAAATGAAGGGAAATGAGGGTATCAGCTGCAGAAGGCTAAAAATGAGTCTTATGGTTAAAGGAGAATTCAGCAATTGAGAGGAAATGATTTTATTATTATTATCAGGATGTTTAAAACTGTAGTTATTAGAAACTTTCCTGTGGTTTGGAATGCTACCTCACTTCCAGGGAAAAGGGATTAAAGACTGAGGGCAGGCAAGCTGTGAAAGTTTGGTGATGCATCTACTTACTACAGGAATAATTCCCTCCAGAGCAGTGTGGGTTTTTACACTTACATGGTTGCAGACAAAGCTTACACACGTGTTTAACAGATTAGCTATGGACTGATCATGCAGCATTTTTAAGTGCACTTGGTCTGATCTTGAAAGGCATTTTGAGTAAATGCTTAACCTCAAACTTTTGTGAAGCCTCTATGGCATCGTGACAACTGTTCTTTTGTTTTTAGGGTTAAGATTGGTATTGGTAAATCTGCACACTCTTCCCATACAGTGTTTTGCAGTTTATCCCTAAATAGAAAACACATGCAAAATCTAACCACTTAATTGAAGATAGATTTTAAGTTGCTGATGAAAAAGAGCCCTCTTTGGAAAATAACAAAGCTTGTTTTACATAGCTACTAAACTATGTTAATCCTGTATTGACTTCGATGATACAAATTTGATCCGCAACTACCAAGTGCTGCAAATGTGCTTGCAGTTGCTGTTGAATCAAATATTTACTTTCCTTTTTTTCTCTTTTTCTCTTACTTTTTTTTCTTCCTTTTTTTCAAAGCTTTGCAAGGTGAGTAGTCACCAGACGCAGTCCCACGGGAGGCCGCAGGTCCCCAGGCGGAGAGAAACTCCTCCTGAAGGACACATCAAATGTTGCTCACACAACTTTTCCACACTAAAGCTTTTCTGTAGCTCCTGGCATCTTTCAGACCTCCCTGCAGCCCGTCCCTCCCCATTGGGCCTCTATCTATCCCTTCTCCTGATGTACTACTTTCCCATGTGTAGTGGTTGGGCATCTTCCCTCTCCATTTCATTTCAGTCCTGCCCACTGCCACCATTGCCCTGTTCTTTTTTCATATGTTTCTTTCCTTTCTTCCTTCCTCATCTCTCTGAGAAGAAATCAAGCCAGCTATCAACTTCTTACCTCTGTGCAGAGAAGAGGTGCAGGAAGGCATTGTATGGCCATTGTCTGCAAGTCCCTGGTCTCTGCTCCACCACAGGAGGTGCTGGGGCTGCTGCTCTGTGAAATAGCTGTCTTGGTCTTCTGATGTTTTTCTTTCTCCAGCTCTCGTCTTCTTCCCCACTGAAACCAAAGTCAGTGACTTTCTTGCCTTTCCATACCTAAAATGAAGACTTTTCCCCAGGTATTATGCAGAAGTTACAATATTTCAGGCAAAAAGCAAACTGCTGTTGTGTTGTACACCAAGTTTTCTGGTTTTGGTGTATTACAGGAGGTCTGTTTTTATGCAGATTTTACAAAATATTTCTGGTACCAGCCAGCAAAGACATCTTTGTATTTGGTCTTGTGGAAGCTAACCTTTACTTCAGTCCTGTTTGGGGTTCCCATCACCTCCTCCCTCTTTCTTACGGCAATGTGCAGCTGCAGCCTGAAGTCGCATTCTCTAAATGCTCCTACTTTAAAACCAAGTATGATGTGCTTGAACAAAACAGGATTTTTTTTTTTTATATATATTTTTTTTTTTTTTGAGAAATGTGAACGGAGTTTAACAACAAAGGTGTCTGGCAAGATGCTATGCACAGTGACTAACATTCTGCTTTAACACCTCGTTGGTTTTCACAGCATCGTAAAGACATTTTCATCGTAGTGTGAAACCAGTACTTACCTCCCCATATTTTCTGCATGCAGTCCTTGGTTTCAGTTAATTTGTGTCTAGTTACACTGACTACAGGCATCAGAAGGTTCAGTGGTTGGGGCGCTGATGTGGTGGTTGGGAGGCAGGGAGTTGAGTCTGTGTTTTGATAAGCACGTTCATGTTACCCCTGGCAGGATGGAGGGTCGTCTTTGCACCCCAGCTGCCTGCTTGTAATGGGGGATGAATATCACTTTCCTACTCAGACACGCCCACACTGCATTGATAAATGTGCCGTATATTACAAAATACAGACGCTATCCTTATGGAGGTTGAGTAGTGCCTGAGATGTACTGGCAGATTTTAAATGAGAAGGGAGCTGCGGATTGGCAAAGTATGCAAAAGCCTTGGTTTTGTGTGTCACATACAAGTCAAGTTACAAAATTTCAAACATAATCTGCTAGTTGAGCAGCTAACCAGTTTATTTTGGAAGCTCTTTGACTTCTTTCACCTAAATTAAGGTGTTAGATCTTGCCAGTAATGAATGGAAATTCTATGGCATGAGCTAAATTATCTTAGAGCCCAGGGGAAAAACAGGGCAAATTCAGAAATGTATTTTTGCCTTGGTGCTTAGTGTCTGGATGGTCAGAAGGACTAGTAATTTACTGCTAACTAAGTCAGATAAAGGATTCATTATCATATGAGGTGTTGGTACATATTACTAGAAAACATACTTCCTTAGTCTGCTGTAGCTCTAGGAATTTCAGATCACTTTTACAAAGTTACACATGTATACTTGGGGGAGACATTTGCTACTGCATACTGATTTAAAAGCTCCCAGGACAAAGCCCTTTCTTGAGAGCGCTGAGGCCAAACACATTGCATCCCCTCCTTGTTTGCTTCATGTCTGCTTTTTGAGTGATGCTGGTGGGAGTTTATTCTTTCAGTTTCAAATGAGGCAGTTTCTTCTACCACTCAAGGTCAGACATGTAACTTAGGAACAGAGTTTTAGCTAGCAGGTTTCCTGAGGCATCCTCTGCGATCAGGGGAGATGAGCTGCTTGAAAGAGAGATTTAAAGCAGGAGCCCAAAGCCTCTGCAGCTCCTAGGTGATGGTGGTGGCCTCTCAAGGCAGGGCACAAGGATCAGTCACATGGTTTCTTTTTAACATACATTCAGAAGGAAATCAAGGCCCCTCAGCATCAGTGGGAGTCTCTGCTGAGCACACTCGATTTCAGAGCAGCTTCTCAGGCTCCTCTAAGCAATTTATGCAATGATGGGAACAAGAATTTCTTTTCTGAGCTGAGATCTGATTGTGGCATCCATCACAAAGTGCTTTGAGACAGCTTTGAATATGGATAGAGTAAAAATCCTTCTTGCTGCTCAAAAGCATTGAAGTTGTTATGAAGAAAGTTGCTGATTCCTCTGAACTCTCTGATAGCATTAACTTGTATTCTTGTTTCTCTTTAGCCTCAGGCAGCTTTAGAAAGAGATGCGTTTAAAGTGCAGACATTCACCCATACCCAGTAAAATGTGCCTGATGTAAAATGATGTCTCTTACTGTGTGTTTGACTTGCAGAAAGCATAATGCACGTTTTGTAAATCGTACTTTGATTTTTTTTTCACTTGCTGAATGTCTCAGGGTATTTGTCTCTCTGTAAGTCTGGCTTAGCATAGTACGTCATTGAGCACAAATTTTGTTAACAAAATGCTGAATGCACAGTAAGTGGAATTTGTGGAACTGGGTCACCAGAAGGTTCTTTCTTTCTCATCTTTAAGCCCCTGAACAATTCTTGTCCTGAATGGTGGTCACCTACCCTTTATTGACAGTTTACTTTATTTGTAACCCTTTGGAGGCCTGAGAATGGTTTAAATCTGTTCCTGAACTCTACAAACTGAAAATACTCCTGAAGTGTGTTGATAGCATCAAATGATTCTTAGGGTACAATAGCTGACTACACAATATTTGCTGTCTTTTTCAGACTAATGGACACATATCTGGGAATGGAGATGTATATCAAGAAAGGCTGGCTCGTCTGGAAAATGATAAGGAATCTCTTGTTCTGCAAGTGAGTAGTCACCTAAATTATTTTTTTCTGCTCTTGCATTCATGAGACTTTTCAATAGTATGTGATAGAACCTCTGAGGGTTTATTGGCAGTTGTATTGTCTTGGACAGTGTCCAGAAAGCTTGGTGATACCTGAGAGTTAATCCCGATTAGGAATAGGTGTGAGTTTAGATTGCAGGAAAAAAATTAAGGCCTTTCTTTCTGTGTATCTGAATTCTTTTTGAATCTTGTCAGTTGAGCAGGTCTACAGAGCAACCACCTTCTTACATTCATGTGGCAAAATGGGAATAGTTCTGCAGTCTCAAAGGTGTTGTCTTGGTCTTCCCCAGGCTCATTCTGTGTGTTTTAACCTCTTTTGCTTTTATTGTTCTGAAGAGGAGAAGCTGTATGCTGTGGTACACTGTGTGCAATCACTTGGAAAACAGAATAAGTTACATGCAGTGAGGTTTAGCTATTTGGTTATTAAGGTAGGAGCTAGTGGGTATCGGTTAATGTATTGTCACAGCAAAGGCATAATTGTTGGCTGTGAGGTGCAGCAGCCACCCCTTGTGAAAACTTCCAGGGCAAGTCAGGAGGGGGGATGCTGAATTGCACTGTGTCTGCCAGAACTTTGTCTGAAATACCAGTAAGCATGAGGGGGAGAGCTTGCCCTCCTCTCCTGTCGCCTTTGCCATGTGTTGTCTCCACTGGAGAGCTGTGCTGCTGTTCCTCCTCCCCCATGGTCTCATTTAATCTTTGGCCCAACCAGCACTGCTACTCGCATACAGTTCTTCAGGTGACACATATGGCATGGGTGCAAGGTGCTAAACATGCATCCATTTTTCTCCACTGTGCAGGTGAGTGTGCTTACAGACCAGGTGGAGGCCCAGGGAGAAAAGATTCGGGATCTGGAGTTCTGTCTGGAGGAGCACAGGGAAAAGCTGAATGCCACGGAAGAGATGCTGCAGCAGGTATTTCACAGCCCCACGTCTGTCTTGCTGTCTGTCTTCATTCTGTCTTAATGAACTACATTTTGCTTTGGTGAGAGCAGTGCACTTCAAGGTGTTGTACTCCTTGATGTCTCCTAACTAAGTGGTAATTTTCTACCATATTTGGTTTATACTCTTTGTACATGGTAATGTCAGTGCTGCCTTATACTGTAGGAATCCAGTTCTGCTCTTCTTTGAGCCTTTCCTCACTGAACTTCAAAGAGACTCTGGCAGGATGGGTGGATTCCCCTCGAAGCTCCTTGCTGCCCAGAGCAACTGTGATGACTGACAAGTTTTTTCTCATCCTGGCAGCCAACCCATGGTAGTGCCCCTGTAATTCAGGTGCATCCTGGGTGCCTGGAGTCCACCAGATGGGTAATAACTGTGTCCCAGGGCTTCAGATAGCACAAGGAAGAGGGTGATGCTTTTCCCTATAAAAGAGGCCTTTAGCTACAGAAAATAAATTACTAATTTCTTCCCCTTGGGTGTGTAATGCTGTTCTCTTCCTTTTTATCTTGAATCAGGAGCTTTTAAGCAGAACATCCCTTGAAACTCAGAAGCTGGATCTTATGGCAGAGATTTCCACTCTGAAGTTAAAGCTTACATCTGTAGAGAAGGATAGATTGGACTATGAAGACAGATTCAGAGACACAGAGGTTAGTAAAACCCAACTGAATAAAATTTCCTGGCATTTTTTTTTTTTTTTTCCTGCCAGGCAGGAGGGGAACTCATCCTTAAGGTTAAAACATGTATCTCTTCAAATAAAAAGTGTCCTCTTTAGTAAACTCTGGATTGCAAAGAAGGGTTTCCCAAACCAGTTTCTGATTCTTGCCACCAGATATTAGGAAGGATGGCATTTGGGATGGATTTAAATAAAATCATGAACATACTGCGGTCTCCTGTCACAGCTTGAAACTGTCATCTTCTTAGTAAGGCGTGTCTGAGGCAAATGCTTAAACTCATTGCAAGCACAAAAAGCATACACACGCACAGACACAGCACACTAAAAGATATATCTTTTGGGTTTGGTAACAGAGAGAATGGGGTGATTTAGTGTGAGGTCATTTTGAAGCTTTACTTCAAACTCCAGCCTTATAGAAGAAGCCCAGGACCAAGAGGCCAGTAGCGTACAGTGCCAGGTGGAGCTACCATCCCTGGCAGCATTTGCCCTTTGTGCACTGCAGATCTGTGCAGCTGAACCTTGATCATGTGTTGAGGCCAGAATGCCTCAAAGCAGGTGGGAAACCCCAGTTTTTCCAGGGAACTGGAAAATTTTTAAGAATCAGGCTGAGCGTTGCTGCCAGGGTGACTTACCAATATCAAAAACCTCCTGGAGTCTGCCCAGGAAGCGGAACAAAATCTCCAATTTTGGGTTCATAAATCAGCTGAAATGTCAGATGTTCATATTGTGGATGTTCCAGATGTCATTCATTTCTAGAAAGAAAGAAGCCATAATGCCATTACAGAAGACAAAATTTGCCTTTTCCACTTCAGTCAGTGGTTTACGAACTCCATTCCAGTTTCCTTCATATTTTCCAGCGAAGTGTCACTCCTCAGTTGTATTGCAAGCACAAAAGCAAAAGTTAGGCTTGCTGTTGAGTTACTTGGTTTGGACCTGTCTGAAGTAATCTTCAGACCCGCAGAAGTGCACAGGTTAAAAACTAGTGACTTGAATAATGTTCAGATTTGAAAGGTGGTGATAATTTAGGTAGTGATGGCAGTGTTGGTTCCTGCAGTGTAGCACATCTGGGTGTGGATTGGATTCATGTTACCTCCCATTAGCTTTTCCTCTAGTTCGGTTGTTACATGAAGGATCATGGCATTGCCTTAAAACCAGCTGGTTTTCAGTCCAGGTGAGTACTGTGCATGGCAATGCTGGAGAAATTGGTAGGAAGGGAGTAAGGTGGAGGAAATTGCTGAAGGTCCTCTGTGTCCATAGGAGGTGTGTTTAAGAGCTGACTGCTTTCACAGCTCCTGTGAGGTCTCTCTGCCCACACAGTGCTCCTCAGCTCTTTCATGAATTACAACAAATAACTCTCTTCACCTGTATACTGACACCTATTGTAAGCTGCCCAAATGATAGATAAATGAATTGACATCAGCAGTAAATGGCTTTGGGGAGGTGATGCTTGATCCAAATGACTGCAGTGAGCAGGTTTATTCACAATATGATTCCACTGCATCTCCATCTGTAAACATTCTGTGGTTTCCTGTACTTTCCAAAACAGGTAAGAAAAGTGATTGGGCTTTGGGTAATTTTCTTCCTATTTTTCTATCCTTATTTTTATTGAATATGATTCGTTGCTGAGCTTTCTATTCCTTCCTTGCTCCCCAAACAGCATTCTCTCCATAATTTAATAGCACAGCTCAGCATACCAAGAAGTCAAACATAGAATCATAGAATAGTTAGGGTTGGAAAGGACCTTAAGATCATCTAGTTCCAACCCCCCCTGCCATGAGCAGGGACACCACACACTAAACTGTTGCCCAAGTGGTTACAGTGGGGGGACCTCAGCATGCTCTGCAACTCTGTAGGCTTTGTGCAGGCTTACCTGCATGGCAACTGTGAAGACCTTTCTCTTTGAAATACCTTGAAATAAGCGTAATGACTTTGATAAAAATAAGATAACCTAAATTATGTTTAAAAGGTAATTACTATGATTAGGGGCTATATACATTTCTGTCATGGGTATTTATGCCAGAACTAATGAACTGTTACTAAAATGTTCCTCCTTCTCTTTGAAAACCGGAATGATTATAGTGTGATAGAAATTACTATGTCGTTTTTTCTTTGTTTCAACACTTTATAGCTGTAAAGAGGCTTAGGCTTAGACACTATAAAAGGGATCATATATCTTAATTTCAGTTTTGTTAAGTGGAAAAATGAATGGCTAATCAGTTGTATGGGTCTCAGCCATGCAAAATGTCTATCGGGTATTTTGGAGGCAGTACTTTGTTCACAGTATTTTATTTAGTGTTGATCTAATTACATTCCTGTTTAAAGTAGTAGATGATCAGTTATTTCAGTAGAGCTACGTATTTCAATGAATATTCAAAATATTCTACAGTAAAACACATGATGGCATTTACATGCAGTGTTCAAAATGGAAAAATTTCATACCCAAACAGGGAAAGAAAAACTATGAATATTGCTTCTGGTTTTTTTAGGGAAAAGAAAGTGAAAACAAAAAAACTCCATTGTCATCTTACAATAACTTTAGTGTAGCTACTGTTTCTTGCAGAATTACCACGTGGATTAAATCTTTCTTATTATCTAGGTTTTACTTATGTCTGTCATTGCATCTTCCCATTCCAGCTTGGGAGGCTTCTCATACTCACTATTCTTTCTCTAAACAGATGCTTTATTAGATCTGCATGCTTTTTTTCCTTTGTGCTCTAGGACTTTTCTGTCTAGATGTTCACAAATACACAGCTTTTCCAAAGCTAATTGTGTACTTAATAGAGATTTATAATTGTTCTGTTCTTCAAATCATTCCAGTCTTTCCACTTTCTCAGCAGACACCAGTATTATTTTCCTTAAGCAGCATGGGTGGTCTGAGTTGGGCTGAGTTTATGTAAGAAAATATCATACAAGGGAGTTTATTTAGGGAGGAGTCCGTAACCAGACATGGTCTTTGAAGCGGCAGCCAGAGGGTAAACTGGCTCACTCATGGGGAATTCTTCATAATTTAAACACCACCAGTCTCCTTTGTGGAGTGGAGAAAATTTCCGAGTGGAGAAAATGATGGATGTGGTTTGTGTTTCTAGTGTCTGTAAGGAAGCCTCTGACCCTTGAAGCTTAAAGTTATCATTTCTTTTTTGTGCCTTCCTGGGCCTGCTATGAAAAGCACAAGTAACATGAGCAGGGAAGGAGAAGGCTCTGGGAAACAGGCGTCTGTATGTCCCACCCGTCAGCTCCATTCATGGATCCATGCAGGCAACAGCTGTTGGGTGTTTGCATGGAGAGACCTGACTGGATCAGAAAAGGACCGCTTCATGCCTCTTTCATATTTTGGAGGTTTTTAAGACAGGAACATGAGTTATTCTCAGGGCAGGTACTTTAACCCATTCATGTAGGTTACGTGAAGAAGATGTATTAGATGCAAGCAAAGTAGCTGCCATACAGTGGCCACCATGTGGTGACTTACACTGCCGACTGATCCAAGTCAGTCAGGCAACTCAGTGGGCTTTTAGTCTGGTCTTAGATTGCGATGAACCTGTACAACACCCTGAGTGTCTCAGGGACGTACACATCTCAAGCATCACACTGAGCATCCCAAATGCTCTTCAGGCCGTAAGCAGTTATACTGGTTGGCACCTTCAGGTTTCAAACAATGCTGTGATCTCCTTGCTGGAGCTCTGCAGGAGGGGGAAACATGCAGTCCTTGCTGTGAAAGGTTTGTAGTCAAAATCAGTTGAACAGAGAATAGTGGAAGAAAAGGGTAAATATTTCAGGTCAGCAAGCAGGAAAATGGAATACACTGGGAGGATGAGGATTTCTTAGGGAACCTCAGTGCCTTTGACAATTGCTACTTCTGGTATCTTGCCTGAAGTTAAATATTAATTCAGGGGAGACAGCCCTGTTTGGGCATTACCTTTTTCCTCTGCTCATTTATGCAAGGCTTGGCCATCTCTTTTATATTAATGAGGCTCTGTATATGGAACCTGGTGAATCTTTAATGTACTCCTCTGCCTCAAAAAGATGAGAATGAATGTAATTTACAGTTACTGTGATGTAGATAACTTAAGACATGAGTTAATGTTGCACTTGCAAGAGAGTAATAGGCAGTATTTTTAGGGCAAAGCATACTGTAAGGACTTGCCTTTAGTTCTGTTTAACCTGTGAGAAACTGTGCAGTATTTTGCCAAAAGCAAAAATGGTGGCTGCAGAAGAGAAAAGCCCCAAACAAATCAAGAGTTGTAGTGTCAAGGGTGACCATCAGACCTGGGAACATAGATTTTTTAGAGATCTCAAACACTGGATGTTGATAAGAAACAGCTCAATTGATCTAGTCATGCAGACTGACACCCTTGTACGTTTATACTTAGAAAGGTGATGAGATTTGCAAAGTTCACACATTGAAGAATCAGTGAGGAAATGCAGGTCAAATCAGAAAGTCATACATTAGGAGTGGTAATTACTAATAGCACCAGAATGTTCTGTATTTCATTTTCCTTGTACTTCTGCTAAATGAGCTTGGCTTTTGCTAAAGAAATACAAATGTTGCTCTGTTGATACCAGATTCATTAAGTACAAAATAATAGCCAGAGGCTTCTAAGCTCAGAAAATGTGGCATGGGGCTGGAAGGCAGGTATTACTGGGGACCCATGAATACCCCCTAAATGTCAGCTGCTGGCTTGTTAATTTATAAATTATAAATCTCTATACAATTAGCTCTGAAAAAAAAGTGGTTGTAGTTGTTAGGTCGATGTACAGTGTTGCTTGACATGTGTACGATTTGCCTTACCATGTAGCAAACCCAAGTACCATGCTATCTTCTTTTTTCTTCGCATAAACGTAACACTGATCTGGTGTCCGTATAAAAACTAAAGGTCAGTGAGGTATACATGAGGCAGAAGCTTGTTAGACAACTTTGAGTTGTGCAAAAGCCACAGCTTTCTGTTAATGTGTTTCCCTGCTGAGCAGGAAGAACATTTTCCCAGTAAGTTGAGGTTTGTTGTTTCTTATACGGAGGGACACTCTGTCCTGGCTGTCCCCCAGGCTTCCTGCAGGTCTGCAGCTGACCAGTTAAGATCCCATTTCCCCACCTAGAGGACAGGGAGGTTTGGAGGAAAGGTGCCTTGTACCTTGATGGGCATTCAACCCGTGTTCCTTTGGCTACTGCAGGAAGGCAGCTGTAGAGCTGGTGGCACTCAGGGCTGACCTCCAAACCTGATAAGTCTTTCTAGGACGGCAGCCAGAAGGTCGAACCATTCCCCTGAAGAGCTCAGGTGTGTGTTAATGGTGGCTCCGAGTTTCTTCCAAACCAGATTGAATTTGCAAAGCACACATGTAGTGGCACCACTGATGTTTAAACACATATGCCATTGTGCTTGTAGACACCAGTGATGGCTTTTCCATCCAGTCTTCAGTTAAGAGGGGCTCATTTGGGTGGTGAAAACATGGATTTATGCTGTAATCACTTCATATTTTGAAAAGGCGGGTGATGGCTGGCAAGCCTGGAGAAGGGGGGATGTGGCTGGGGGGTGGTGAAGGATGGCTGGCAAGCCTGGAGAAGGGGGGATGTGGCTGCTGAGTGTTGAAGGACAGCTGCCATGCTTTTCTATTGCCCACTTACAGTGGTGGACATCTAAGCAGTTGAGCAGCCAAAGGGGCAGGAGGCTTTCCTTGGTCCTCAGCACAGGGAACACAACTTCAATTTATGTCTCCCTTTGTCCTCTGCCTTCTGCAGTAATGCAGAAACTGGGAAATACCATCCCTGGATATCTAGAAACTCTGAGTTGCTTTACTTAGCTATGAATTTGGTTGGTGTGTACAGAGTGCCTTTTATTGCTGCTGTGTTTTTATGGTCCTACCAATGGGTAGCTATTGTTCTGATTTGTTTACTGAATTTCTTTGTTGTTTCTGGTCTTGTTTTTTCCCCTCACTCAGGATTTGATCCAGGAAATAAATGAATTGCGGTTGAGAGTAGGAGAAATGGACAATGAAAGACTCCAATATGAGAAAAAACTGAAAACAACCAAAGTAAGTGAGGCTGAGGGGAAGAAACCGAGATGGGTGTAAGTCAGGCTTTAGAAGTTCACTCTCTTCTCCCCAGTCTTTGCCTGCACCTTGCAAAATCCTGAGCACACTCAGGCCCAGGGGTTTCATGGTACTCATTTAGCAACAATAGTTATTTTCATATTTCATGCTATGGTTTTCAGTTCTGGACATTGTTCTTAAGAAGGATAACTTATCATACAACTGGCTGTTGAACAGTTAAATGTATTACCTGTTTAGACCCTTGTTTCATATATGTCAAGAGTCACCAGTTGCAGTACGTAAGGTGTGTGCCATAAGTGAGACCAAAGATAAGCATTTATTTTCTCCTAAATGTGCTAAAAATCAGCCATTTCTGAAGAGAGAGCATTCACCTAAGTAATTCTAGCAGCCTGTTTCTGCAAGTTGTCTAACTTCTCTTTGCTATTTAGCCTTGTCTCTTTTCTATCTTTAGTTTTCTCTCACTCCTCTGTCTCTGTTACCAGTCTTTAATGGCCAAACTTTCTAGTATGAAAATCAAAGTGGGTCAGATGCAGTATGAAAAGCAGCGGATGGAGCAAAAAAGCCAGATGCTAAAGGTGTAGTAGTTACTGGGTAACATTGGGCCTGTTTTGAATCCTTCATGTTCCACCGTTTTAAGGTCCTGTCTTGCATCGTGCTGTCATGCTCTGTTCTTCATTAATTGCTGTGTGTTGATATGCAGTGCTCCCTTTCCAATTAGATGTGGAAAGCTATGCAGCTATTCCCTATAAAAAGGGAGAGGATTTTAGTGTTGTCAACTTTGCAGGGATTACACATAATGGAATTAGACTTGGCTTAAAATCATTCCCCTTCCAAGGCAAGATGCCTCTTCTGTAGCTTATGTCTATTATTGAAATGGAACTACTCCTCACCTTTTTAGAGAAAATTTATTCATGAAAACTAGCAAGAAGGTAGTGATTCTTTTATACAGTCCCCTCTCCCACATGTACATTTACATATTCTGTTTCTAATTCAGAGGAAGAAATACCCACCAACAGCCACATGCAGCTTTAGTTGCCTATGGGTATAACAGCAGCTTCTCAAGTGACCATGAGAGGGTCTTGTTTTGGAGAAGCATGAGTCCTGCAGCAGCAGCAATCCCATCAAAATCAGTACGAAGTGGGAGCACTGCAGGATTGTATTGCTCAACCACTGTTCTGGAAGAAGCTTTGATTTCTTGACAATTTTAAGATAGATGTATTTTTAATTGATGTTTTAGAGCAAACAGGAAACAATTTAAAGAAGTTCTGTAGTCTAGGCCATAGTTTGGGATGCAGGCATCACTGTGTATTTGCAACCAACCTTTTGAGGGAAGCTCAGGGATCTACCTAAGCCACAGTATTCTAGTTTGGTTTATCCCTTTAAGGATTTAAAAGGTCAGCTAGAAGCTCTAAATGCCAAAATTATGAGTCTTGCCTTGTTTTGCTTTGTTTACAAACTGAACAAATTAAATTTTCAGTGTTGGTTACATTTGCACTGAGGGTCCTGTCTTGATGATGCAGTTACACAAGATATCCTCGGACATCAAAGAAACATGTTACTAAACTGGGTAGGATTTGACTTGAATTTTAAAAAGTTAAATGCATGGATCTGTGCCAGTCACTTGCTAGTGCAGATGGTTAGATCTAAGTTAAAATTTGACAGCATTTATCTAATACACCCCAACTCCCCCAAACACCATCTGTCTTATTCCCATGAATCTCAACTCCAAGCTTCCTTTCCTAATGCTTGATCAGCAAACCCAAACTGTGGCAAAGGTACCACATTTTTGTCTGAACTGCTTTCCAGTATGTGTTTATGTGCTTGATGGTGTCGTGATTGATTTTTCTTTCATAGAAGCAGTGGTTATTTCTGAAATTGTCCTCAGCCTGGTGTAAGCACAGTTCCATAACTGTCCAGCTTTGAACATGCAAAATGCCCTATAAGCACCAAAAATAAATGTTTGTAAATTTTAGTGTTCGGCCTCATCACCTGCACTTTTTCTGCCTCTGCAAGGTTAAATAAATATGAAAATTCGGTTTGCTTTTTGTTTTTTCTTTAGTCTGTCCGTCTTAAATTTAGATGCAAAATCTCTTTTCAGTTATACATGAGACTGACCATAGGCCCATAGGCCTTTTGGCCTATGGACCTTTTGGACCATAGGCCCCCTGATTTTGCCATTTTACAGGCTCAGTGGTCAGGTGTGATGTTCAGAGCCAATTTGGTGGGTGCACCCTCAGCCAGTGTAAATGTCAGGGAGCCTTCGGTCATTTCCACCAGCTGAGGACCTATCCACTGTGCTTCATAAGGAGGGAATTTTGGAAATGTCTCAGATGTTTGTGGAAGCTGTCACTGAGAGGTTCTGTATCTGTTACAGGATGAGCTACTAGCTTTGAAAGACAAACTAGAGCAGAAGGAAGCTGAGGTGAAAAGGCTGCAAGAAAAATTGGTTTGCAAACTGAAAGGAGAAGGAATTGAAATACTGGACAGAGGTAAGAAGAAGGGAGCATCTGTCACCATGTACTCTTCAGTCACTTCAACTGATGTCATGTTTCCGTGAATGGTTATATAGGAAATAACAGACAGAAGCCTCAGTTTTCGTGTGATTTCTGCCCTTGTTTACTTCTTTTAATATATTTAGTGGGTGTTCACAATGCAGCTGCTG